AATTTCTTCAAAATTCCCAAATTTCATAAACCTAATTAAAACCCCAATTTCTATAAACCCTAATTTTTTTTATTTATATTGTTTAGGAAGGGAATGACCACGGCTTTTTCGATTATTTTCTTCAAAATCCCCAATTTTCATAAACCTAATTAAAAACCCCAATTTCTATAAACCCTAATTTTTCGGTTTACATTGTTTAGGAAGGGAAGGACTGCGGTTTGTTCAAATGGATTGATCCCGAAATTTCTCAGTTCCAAAAATCTTGTTTTCTGCAATTGAAATCTAAGAAAGAGTATTTGGAAGAGCAGTTGAGGGGTAAGGTTGCAGTGGAGAAATTGTACTCTGGAAAGGCATTGGAAAAAGATGAAATTGTGGACCGTGACATTGAGTTTGAACAAAAACTGAATGATCTTGAAGTTGAAGTTCGGAAGAACAATGAAGCCGTGCTGGTTATGAAAAATACATTAGGTCTCATGCAAAAACTGGAAAGGAAGATGAATGTTGCAATGTTTTGCTTGATTGTGGTTATGATAATTTTTTTTCTTAGTTTGTTGGGAAATCTGGTAATGAGCAGAGGCCTAAAATGTTGCTTTGAATAGTGTTTTGTTTATCTCATTTTGTGGATGTATTGAACTTAAGAAAGAATGTAATCTATTGTTGTGTTTTATCTCATTGTTATTGTTCTTTTCTTTTGTGCAATCTTTTGTTATGTTCTGAAATTTATGAAATCCAACTTAACAACAAATTATTTATAGAAAACTGAGATCAACATTACAAACAATGATAAAGCACTGTAAACATTACAACAACACTCCAAATTGATTAATAATCTGCTCCAAAGTGATTAATAATCTGAGAACTTCCAAAACAACATCACATAGGTCTTGAGTGCCTAATCTGAGAACTTCCAAAACAACATAGCCTAATCTGGGTGCCAAAAACACTCCACAATCAACAATAGTACAAAAGTAAATCCTTTCTAATCATCCACAGTTCAACAATACTCCAAAATAAACCTAAGTTAATCATCACCTATGAGCAACACTCTCTTGAGTGCCTAAAGCACCCTTAGTCTTCTTCCCCTTCTGCATTTTCTCCTTCCCTCCAGTGTTGCTAGAACCAGCACCTCTCTCAGAAATTACATGATATGTTTGTACGGTCAGCGAGTGGAATAACATATCAATTAAACTTTAATAAAATAAAAAAAGCTATTACCAGAGCTCTTTCCTTTAGAGTTAAAGATGATGACTGTTGGCTTGACTTCTTTTTTGACAATGAACTTGTGTTTTCAACTGTTGATCCAACATTCTTCTTGGGCCTCCCCCTTGGATTCTAAAAAAACAATAGAGATTAAAACATGATTTTATTTGTTTTTCAATTTGTTGTTTATCATAATAAGACTTGAAATAGAAATTATAACCTTTGGCTATTTCTCCACTGGAGGATTAGAGCATGACTGTTGGGTTGATCCACCATTCTTCTTGGACCTCCCCCTTGGATTCTAACCAAAAAAATAGAGATTAAAACATGATATGATTTGTTTTTCAAATTGATGTTTATCATAATAAGACTTGAAATAGAATTTATAATCTTTGGTTGTTTCTCCACTGGAGGATTAGAGCATGATTTCTTATTGTGCCCTTTTTGAAAACATCTTTGACAAGTCATAGTCAACACAAACCTCCTCAACTTAGTCCCACAATTCATTTCCTCCTCAGGTGCTCTCTTCCTTTTCTTCTTTGGCCTTCCTGGCATCTTTTTAAAAGGAGGAAGAAGAATAAGATAATCCTGTACAACTGGCCACAATTTCTTCCCATTTATGGGTTCTAATGACAAGTACAATTGCAGATAACTTTCAACCGAGTAGTACTCAGACACAAACTCTACAGGATCCTGATGTTGAAAATTTATTGCAGAACATGCATGTACACATGGTATGCCTGTAATATCCCAATATCTGCAAGTACATGTCTTGTTCTTCAAGTTCACAACAAACTGATCATCCTCATGCACAACCTCAAATCTTTCACCAACAGCTGGTTTTGTGAGACAGAGCCTAGACATGTATTTGTTGTGCTCTAACTTCTTTTTTATTTTAGGACAAATCTTGTCTGTATACCCACTATGTCCTAACAACTTGTCATGTTGTCTTTTCATTAACTCACTTCTAACAAACTCAAGCATATCAATAATGTGTTTGCTTTTACCCTTAACAATAATTCCATTGAATGTCTCACTCACACAGGGGCGAAACCAAAAAATTAGTTGAGAGGGGACAAAAGACATGATATAATGGGTTCAGAACCGATAGCGAACTAATTACCGTTACACATAAGTCGGTTCGGTTCGGTTCAATTTTCGATTTTCGGTCAAAAAATACCAGCCCTAGCTTGGGCAATAAAAGAGAGTTGAAGTCTTTTATATGAATCAATTAAAATTGTAGAATGATAATAATTAATATACAACATTAGTAGTAAAATAAAAGAAGTGTTGAATTTTTAATTGACAATTATGGACAAATTGTCCCGACGAGTGACGTTTGGGGGTGCAAAAATAAATTTAAAGAGGGGGCAAATTAAATTTTTTAATATTTATAGTAAAAAAAAATAAAATTTCAGGGGGGGCAAATGCCCCCTAATAAAAAATAAAATTTGAGGGGGGTTGCCCCCTAATAATACATCTACATTCGCCCCTGCACTCACATTGTTTTCAATCATATCACATCTAGACAATGGAGAAATGTAAGCCTTACAGAATTTGGTAAGATCTCTGTCCATGAAATCTTCATAAGCATCTGTATCTTCTGACTTAAAATCTTCCAAATATATGTTGTAGTCCCCCAAGTGAGTGCTGAGCACAATCTTCCAAAAAATGCTTTTCAATGTGAGCCCTTTGAAACTTTTCTTCCAATTCATATATACATGTCTTGCACAGTTTCTGTGCTCAGCATGTGGAGCCAAATCTCTCAATGCATTCAGAAGACCCTGCAAAAGGATAAAAAAAATGAAAATTTACAAATTCAGATATGAATAAGTGGAAAAATTCATTTATGAATAAATTCACAAAATTTTTATATGTTAGAGACATAACTTACTTTTTGTTGGTCTGACATGAAATTATATCCAATACCATCAGTAATTCCAGATCAGTAAACAAAATACTTAGAAACCACCTCCAACATTCCTCATTTTCTGTCTCAACAACTGCCCAAGCCACAGGGTATATTTGATTGTTGCCATCTTTTGTTGTGGCACACAATAAAGCCCCACCAATAAAAGTCTTCAAGAAACACCCATCAAATCCTAAAATGGGCCTACAACCACTAATGAAACCCTTTCTTAGTGCACTAAATCCCACATAGAACCCTCTGAATGTTGTTTCTTCACCAAGAAGAAACTCAAACCTTCCATCTCTGTCTACCCTCAACAACTCTGCCATGTAACTTCTCAGAGAAGCATAATGGCCAATTACTGAACCTCTAAGCATCTCAAGAGCTCTCCACTTTCCTCTATAAAGCTTCCACTTTGTAGGTTGTACTGCAAACTTTTCAGATATTATTTCTTCCATTTGGGTAATGGACATGTTTGGATTCTTTCTGAATTTCTCAACAAACTCCTCAGCAATCCACTCTGATGTAACTTGTCTGGTGTGGACATTTCTATGGCATTTGTGCTCCTTGTTCAACTGTTTAATTGCTACACTACCCTCTTTCATAACTGCACTTGCATACAAGGTCCAAGGGCAACCATCAACGCATTTCATTCTCAACTGTTTTTTGCTAGTTTTCAGAAACTTTATGTCCCTCCCTTGAATAATTGCTACATTTCTTACTACTTTTTTCAACTCCTCTATGCTTATGAATCTCATCCCTAACATAAACTCAAGAGTACTATGATCACATTTTGGATCATAAGTAACCATTTTCCTTCTACCTATACAGTTCCCATCATCATCCATTTCCCACTCACTACCTGAATTTTCAGAAACCAATGCACAATCTACAAACCCAGAATCTTCACTGTCCATCTCAATGGCCTTCTTTGACTTCATGTTGTCTGCACATTCTCCATCATCCTCTAATATCCCCTTTTTGTGCTTCTTCAAATTCTGTCTTGCCTGAAGATATTCACCATCATCATCAGAAGCAAAATCATCAATAGAAAGTTCATCATCAGATGAGCTATCATCAACAGGAAAGTAGTCTTCATCCTCACTATCATCCCCAGACCCACTTCCAACCTCACAGTCACCCACATTGGAAGTAGGCAACTGTGGAGTTTTTAGGTTATTCCTCACTTCTGTATCAACATCACCATCTTTCTGTGACTCAGCTTCTAAATCCACATCATTAGGATTCTTTGGATCAGAGATATTAACATCACCATCTTTCTGTGACTCAGCTTCTAAATCCACATCATTAGGATTCTTTGGAGCAGAGAAATTATCTATATATGAATCAACATCAAATTGTTCCTCTGACCTTGGTGCACTTTCAACACTAGTTTCAACACTAGCTTCATTTTCATTGTTATCTTCCTCTATAATTTCTCCAACCACATAAACCTCTAATAATGTTCTTCCCTTAGTAGCGTGGCTAATCATCTCCATAACTACACTATCATCACAACATCTTTAAAGCAATCTGCTCCATTGTTCCTTGGTATACAAGTTTTTCAAACTTTTCAACCCCCAGCTTCTCAACTTCTTCTTTTAAGTCAAAATACTCAAACCTATCCACATCTAAACCATGAACTGTCTTGAATTTACCACCTAAGTACTCAACAGAAGTTCCACATTTAATGAACTTGCCTCCATAGTTTACAAAAATTGAAAATTTTCCACTGCAATGCAAACATATGAATAAATAAGATAATAGCAACAAGTGAATTGCATAAGACTCTAAATTTTCCACAAAAAACCCTAATTGTTCAGAAAAGCCCTAATTTCTCCCAAAAACCTAATTTTTTTAGAAAAGCCCAATTGTTCAGAAAATCCCCAATTTCTCCCAAAAACCCTAATTATTTATAAAAACCCTAATTTCCCCAAAAAACGTAATTGTTCAGAAAACTCCTAATTTCCCCATAAAGAACCCTAATTTCACAAAAAAACATAAAATCCAAGAATAAATGTAATTTCTAATCGAATCCTAAATATAAGACCAGAGTATTGAAATATCGAAATAAAAATTGCAGAAGAAAGAAAGAAAGAATAGAAAACATTCGGAGCACCTGTCTTTCATCTTCCCGACATATAAGGAAGGGTTATCTCGAATGCAGGACGACAAGAAATCTGGAACGCAGAAACACAAACTCGCATGCAATTGGGACAACTTTGTTGCGGATTCTTGATACAGAGACAAGATTTCAGTTGTAGGGTTTCATTTTTTTTGTCGAGATCGATTTTTCTCTGAAGTCGGGTTAATTTGATTTGGGAATTTCTGAAATTGGGAAGTGGAACGGGTATTTATACTCCTTTCGTACGAAATTCCACGTATTTAATTAATCTGACTGAGCAAATTGAAAATTACACGTAGATAAAACACAGCCGGACACACTGGCATGTTTTCGTTGGCCGACGGGTTTTAAGTCTATTTTGCAAAAGTAAGATAAGGTACAAATTATATTGCAATTATTCGAAAATTTGGATTAAATTGTCAAAAATGAAAAGGTCGAGGTTTATTTGGCAATTAATCCTATAATATTTGAAAAGGAAAAACCAGATACGGCGTCGTTTCAGTCTGGGAACTTCATTTTGTCCCTCGACTCAGCTCGCACAGTCTCGTGCGGCTCAGAAATCACCGTTCACCTGAGACTTTCTCATTCGCAGATTTTCACCAGAATCCAAATATTTCAAACAATGTTCTACAGAGGGTAAGAAGAATAAATTTCATTCTTTTTTATCTTGGGCGTAAACTCTAATTTTTTCCAATTTATGTTCAAAAATCTCCCTTACCAATTTTAATTTGGAGGTCATTTAGGGTTTAATTTTAGGAAATTTATATCCTGTATCCTTACGTTCGCATTCTTTGCCGCTGCTTGAATTTATTGGTTTCTTTTAGATCTTCGGCTGCCGTTTCCATTTGTTTTATCTGAATTATGCCAATCCTCCTTTCATTTTGTCAGTTATTATAATCGATTTGCATTTTTCTCTAAAATTCCCTAAACATGTCTGATTTGGGACTTGGATTTCTGAACCCACAATTTGTTCCTCCCCAAAATGAGTTTCTACTTCATTTGCTAATCGATTTCCCCAATTTGGAGCTGGGAAACAGTTGCATTACTGCATCCTTCTCCAATAAAATCCAGCACTATAATTTAAAACCTTAGCCTCTAGGCCTTGTCTCAAGTAGGAGATCCAATTAATCTTTGTGAAATTTGCAACAAA